TGCATGCTCTCCTTTGAAAGTAGGCGGGTTATTTTTCTGAAACTTTCCAAGAGCACGAAAAGCATCATCAGCTCCATCATGTGGCACTGAATTAGCTTACGGCCTCTGATTCAAGGATCCAGCGAGAAATCGTAATGCCTCAGCAAGTGCATTATCATTCCTCCCAGCTACCATCTTCTTCTGAACAACACAAAAGTATTGATCGCGTCAAATACACAATCAAATACAATGGAATTAGTAACATTAAGACCTGACAACTGACCGACAATGCTCTGATACCACTATTGTAACACCCCTTCTAATAAACTCCGAATTAAACGATATAATTAAAATCAGAGAAAATAAAATTTGCACGGAAGGAGTGTCACAATATCAATTCACATATTCAAGAAAAACGGACATGACATATTCGTCACTTTAATCATTTAATCACATAATACATTCATGGCATATACTTTCTTTTTCGTGCAAACGCAACGGAATCATAATAACTTCATCTCCAAAGGAGGAATCAAAATATAAAATTCAAGGCATTAAGCCATACGGTTCATACACCAAACATGTTATCAAGTCATAATACACATACATCAATATATAATCAAAACAATGGATTATATACAAGTATAATCCATCTACAAAATATACGAGTTCGAATCGGACACCTAACCCCCAAGTGTTACAACCAGAGCATCGACTCGATAAACCAAAATAAAACGGATTACAATCCAAATGCATCCGCTAAGTTAGTGCCTCGCACTACCGTCTTCGGTACCTAAACAATGCCGAAGCAAGCATTTTCCAACAGAAGGGTAAGAATTCCAACAAACATAAAGTATGTAATTTAAAGCAAATGAAAGGCATTAAATAAAGGAATCTTACTCTTTTTCCAACTCTTACATAAACTACATAAGATATTCATTTAATCAAATTCTCATATTCAACAACTCAAAGAAAACAAACACAATCCACTTCATTTACCAATTAGCACATAATGCATAATATTCAATGACACATAAACTCAATAAAACGTGTACGTGCGACTCGACACAACGACACGACTCATGCATGTGGTACCAATCATCTATTATCCTTCGGACTTGCCGATGTCTATCCCTCAGACAGATAATCACAAAAACCCATTCCCTAAGCTTCCAAACCCCCGCTCTGAGTTTGGGACGAGCCACTAGCCTCCACGAGACTAACAGACATCGCCTCTTGACACGACTTATGATGCGGTGTGCAATTCAATCAACAACAATATGCAAATCGAGACATCCCTCTATCTCAATTACAAGCATACATCACCATAATTCAACCCTATGAATTAATCTCATAACATTGCACAACAAACATCATTTATTTCATTTTCAACAATTATCCCACAACACCAAAATATTCATAAACCAAACACATCATTTCCGGAATCGGAAATTAACCAAATATCTCGAATATTCAACATATCTACAATTTAATTCATCTCCGGTCGTACTCAAAATGTTAATTTTACCATTTAATCGTAACCGGTTATATTAATTAATTACACTGTTAATTATAATATATATTAATATATTAATTAAATTATTAATATAACATAATATTTATAAACTGAACAATGTTATTTCCAAAATTGGTATTTCACAATATATTTCAAATCTACCACACATCTACGATTCAATTAATCTCCGATCGAAACCAAAATATCAAGTTTCATCGATAAACCGTAATCGATTATATAATTAAGAATACTATTAATTATGATATACATAAATATATAATATATATTATAAACTATTGGAAATATATATTATATATACATACTGTTATTACATATTTATAATTATATATATTATATATACATACAGTTTATTACATATTTATAATTTATATGTTATGTAACCCCCCCCCCACCCCACACACACCACACACCCCCACCATCCACGTGCCCCCCCCCCCCCCCCCCCCCCCCCCCCCCCCCTCCAAGTTTCCCCCACTTCCAAGTGCCCCCATCCCCCCACTTGTCCCCCCTTTCTTCTCCATTTTTGTATAACAGGAAATTTGTTTTTTTTTTTTTTTACAGTAAAAAAAATCTAATTTCTTAAATCGAAATCAAATGCAAAAAAAAAAATATTAGATGTTTAGAGGAAGTCTAACCCTTAACGATTAGTTCCTGGAATGAGCTTTTTCGGTTGATTTTCCAGAAATTTCTTCCTCTCCTCTTCAACCCTAATTTTCCTCTTTCTCTTCACTTCTTCTTCTCTACTTCTCTCTTTCTCACTTTTCCACTTTCTGATATATTTTCCTTTCTATCTAACTACTTATTATATAATATATAAAAAAAACTAACTTATTTTATTATATTACTTACTTATTATATTATATAAAACTAACCTACATAACATATAAACTTATATACTTTACTACTCTAAGTTAACATAACTTATATATAATAAAACTAATATTTTATTAAATTAATTTAATATAATTAAATAACATTAATTTATTAGTTTATAAAAAATCAATTAATACTAATATAAATCCATCCTCACAAATAAATCAAATAATACATATAATAAAATATTTACACACTAAATATAATATTATCGTACAAAAATAGTTATTTTTCGGTAAAACAAATAAACCCAATTAATCACTTACCGGACCGAATTACCGACTAAATAATAATTATTTTATTCAAAATAAACATCAACCGGTCATTTTTAGAAAATAATAATATAAATAATATTAATTAAAACGGGGTGTTACATCTGCCGCAGCTCGACCTTTGAAGACTTATGCGTTGGCACAAAAGTAAACTAATCATGTCCTTACCTGAAAAGGGTTTTAGAAAAAAGGTGTTTGAGCGTACAAAATGGTTGAGTTGGTTTGCATTTTGTTGCAGATAATGACTAGTTGACCTCAAGAGAGAGATATTAGCCACTTTTCCACTTGTCCAAAAAAGGAGTCTTTGAGATTTGAACCATACCAGGGCCTGGGATGGAAGGATAATAAGATCGATAATGGACTCGCTTATCATCTCCCATACTCAACAGAAGTATGATTCTCATCAGTAATTTTAAAGTGTTTTGAAGTTTGGAAGGAAAAAGAAGTTTTTGTTTTAATGCAAATGCAAAAGGAGAAAGAAAGGTCAAAGGGAGACTAGCCTATTTCTAAACCTAATGTTATTACACATCATGGACCTAAAGTTATAATTTTAAGGGAATTCTACCTAATGTTTGCATGCTTGAATTTAAAAGCCTAATGTCTAATTTTAGTTCAATTAAATCGAAGATTAAATTCGAACCAAAATCTCCTAAGGAATCATGAAAGAATATACAAACGAGTAAAATTAGACAGCAAGTACCAAAGTATTGCATACAATCTATACCAAAAATCGCAAACGAAATACTTGACAAGAAATGAGTAAAACTAGTGATTAAAATTGACTAAAAAGTTAGCAAAAGGGGAGATAAATTAAGGTCACGATGATACCGAACGGAGAAGGTTCGTTGCCTCTTCATAACCACACAAGCAATAAGAAAAATCTATTAAAAGCTTCCTCGAATTTCTTTGATGAAGATTATGCTCTTAGCTAGCTTATAAACTTCTTAAAAACTTCATCTAAGTCCCTTTTGTCCAATAATATTACACAATAATTGACAAAAAATATTGAAACAAGTAAGAAATATAGAGAAAATAAATGATACCAAGGGAGTGTATAATTGCATGCAGGTGTATAACCCAGCAATGGAACTCTGGGCGCTGGGCCATTCAAATTGAGCCTACCATATTACCTTTTTTATTTGTAAAGCCAATATCCACCCTCTAAAAAATGCTAACGGGCCTTTGAAATTCAGCCCACCTCACATGCCATCACCATCTATTTTCAAATTTTCTTTTCATTATTAAATTATTCACAAAATACAATGTATAAAAATAAAAATATAAAAAACTAAAGTAGGAGTAACAACCAAAATTGGAAGTAGATTAGGTTTTGTGAAAGAGCCTTTTCTCCGATTGAAGCAAAAACAGCCACCGGAAGTACAATGTTGCGCCTAGAATGGCGAAGCTTCCATCCTTATAAATTATCCCTCTATCCTCTTCGTCTTGATGCCACACTTCCAAATCTGCCTTTGGTTTTCATCAATTTCCTTGTTAATCCGAAATCTAATCAACAGTAGAAACCCTAGGAGTTTCAAGATGCAATTAAACGGCAGAGAAGGAGTTTCAGCATGCGATTCCTGGGGCTTCACTCCTATTTCTCATCTTCTATCGATCTTCAAACTCTTGTTCATGTATTCATCACTCTTGAATTCTCATTTCTGATCCTTTCTTCTTCTTCTTCCCGCGTGCGTGTCGCGTTAGATGTTGATTGCGTTAAGGCTATAATATTGAGCGTTGTTATTGATGTGTTCTTTATAGATTGATGAAGAAGTGTTGGTGTTTGATGATAGTTGGAGATAAGGAAAGGCAAAATATTGATGATGTTAGAAACAAGGCGCATAGGGAAAGAAAATTAAAGGTTTTGCGTGAAGGTTACAGAGATGAAGATTGAAGATGTTGAAAATGAAGTTTCATTGATGCCGAGAGATTGAAGGCATTGAGGGAAGTTTGATAATGAAAGGTTCTGAGAGAGAGAGAGAGAGAGAGAGAGAGAGAGAGAGAACTGAAGGTGAAAAATAAAGAGAATTGAGATTCAAGACCGAAGAAGAGAGCAGGAGAGGTGATCTCTGAAAAATCTTCTGGTTAGCCCCCTCTATCTTCTGTATTCTGTTATATGTTATCAGTTTTTTTGTAGTTCTATTGAGAAGTTTGTTACATGAATGAGCTGTTAGTTATGGTTATTAGAGTTTATTACATGTTGTTTTCTGTTATAGGTGATTAGGAATTTAGAAGTTAGTTGGAAACTGTTATGAGGTCGGGGAATTAGTTTTGTTATGGATAGTAGGTTATGGTTAGAAGAAGTCTGTTATCTGCTGTTGACAGTTAGAAGGTTGTGACAGTTAGGAGTTGTTAAAAACGGTTTGAAATTTATGTTTTTTGTTAGAGGTTTGATAGAGGGTTTTCTGGACTGTTTTTGATGTTTGCAGGGCTATTCTTTTGTTTACTGATGTAGGATATGTGCAGGATGCAAGGTTCGGTTTTTGTAATGAGAAGTATGAAGCATGGCATTTAGTGGTGAGGATAGACATGGAGATGGATCTGTATGGCATGGCATGACGTTCGGTTAGGGCTTGAAACATGGAGGATGATCGGGATTAGAATAGGTTCTAATTGTTGTGTAAAGTTCCATGTGTGTAATGGTATATTGGAAACTGTAATGTAAATTATAGTGAGGTTATGGTATTTTGTAATGGCTAGTAATTCCTTCTCCTTCATGTAACTATTCAAAAGTGTAAATCAAAATGGATTATAACTTGTATGCCTTTTTAATGAACTTGAATGAGATTTAATTAACCTTGATTGAAACCTTGAATGATGTTAGATAACATGAATGGAACTTGAATGATTATATGGAATACGACTTGATGTGGATGAACGAAAGGCATGGCCATGAATTTAATGAATTTCTTTGTAACTTTGATGCCTTTGTCTTATAATTTATTCCTTATCTCTCAATAAATCCATATGAACAATCTTAATACATTTGTATGTTAAGAACATTGATCCAGTTAATTAACTTTGAACATATTAAAAAGCTTCAATGAATACTTCGAAAGAATGAATTCCAATCAGTTCTCACTTCTCAGAGAAACCACAATTTCCGAATCTTAAATTCTCATTAACTTGCATTGTAAGCAGCAATCAATTGAAAGAATTGTGTTGATTTCTTGAACCCACAAATCCTATCATGTAATACGGTGACTATGCCTTGAGGAATCCTTTGAAAATGCATACAGAACTTTGAAAATGAGCATGGAACTTGAGACATGGGAGGAATAATGAACAAGATAGCATAACATGTGAGTCCAATGAACCTCAATTGATGAATTAACACATTCAAATTCCATGGATAAGAACCTTAATCCTTTTGAGATGCACTTTGATGAATGAATGACACCGAGATATTGATAAGAAACCAATCTTTAGCTCAAAATATCTTTATCTGAATCCTTGATGAAATCCTAACAATCACAATCCTAACGCACTTAGTTCTTGAAGTAACTTTGATACAAATGACTGTTTCTCTTGATGAACTTGGAGGAAGATATCCTTGTAGCCTGATAAGAAATAAGTCCACAACAACCATGAATCAAAACCCTATCTCCAACTATGACTATTGAAGAAACGACTTGAATCTCTTGAATAAAGATAAGGGCCTCAAAGCCATACAGAAACCCTAATTTCAAGATCCTTGTTCTCATGCCAAATTTACTGATTGATGATGCATGATGTGTTAAATGACCTAATGGAGGGTATGCATATAGAATGAGAAGCGCAAAATGCATAAGCCAGATAAAAGTGAGAGGGTAGGACAAATTTGGGATATTACAGTTGCCCCTATTTAATCGTCTTAAACTTGAAAGTACGATTGGCGCGTGCCTTTCGGACGTTCGAGGTAGAAGATGATTAAATACCAATGCCAAAAATTTGTTCTGAGAGAAAGTGTGAGTGTTTATTTATTTTTGTTGGACTTAGCCTTAGGCCTTAGCGTCTGAGGCCTTTTACTGAGCCTATATCCCGAATTCCAAGCATATATCCCCCTAGTCTTGGTTTTTGTTTTAGTTTTTTTTAGTCTCTTTATTTGTATTTTTTTAATTTCATTTCTCTTTTGAATTGCAGTAATTGAAAACAATAGAAAATAGTAGAGTATGATAGAATTTTTCTAGAATTTCTTTTTTTAAGATTTCAATTAGAATTTTCTATTAATTATTTATGTTTAGTAATCATTTTGTCACTCGAGACTTGCGATTCACCTTTGCTTGTTGAGATTTGAGTCATATGCAAGTTTATTGTGTGATATGTAGATATGCTTGATTTTTTTATTGTGATTTATTTTCACATCGATGATGCTTCGACGCTTATTCTGGGCATTTGGTTTCTGACTCTTTTCTTTGATTGGTGAAGCTTTCGCGAAGAACGTCGGGTTTCTTTTTTTTGATACACTTTGCTACGAATTGATATTTGTTTGGCATTTGCTCTTGTTTATCTCATTTCAGCATTTTACTGCTTTCTAGATATCATGAGAAGTAGGAATTTTACTGCTTTCTAGATATCATGAGAAGTAGGAAATAAAGAGTGTGTGCTCAAAGTCGTTGTTTAAATTCCTGTAGCAGGCACCGCTTTCTGTATGATATTTGTGTTTGTTTAAAATCCTATCTTTGAAGTAGGTATTCTGCACGTCTGTTTACATTTGTGCCCGTATTATATTACAGATGATAAGTCCTTAAAAGGAGGCGAGCAAGGAGGGTTCACAATCAACCCCTGTACATTTTAGTCTGTCTCATCCTTAGCTCACGTTATACGTTGATGCTTCGGAGTCGTGCAGATCATGTGTATCGAGTCGGTCATGTGGAGAAAGGTTCGCAACCAACCCCCACACTTCGTCATGAGTTCACAATCGTCATTGTTGATACTTTGCTACCCACTTGTTTGCTTCGGGTGATTCACTCCTCTTAACTAAAGCATTTATTTTCTTTTTTATTTCATCTGTCTCCCGCTTGTTTGCTTCGGGTGATACGCTCCCCTTAGCTAAAGCATTTCTCTTGTTTCCCCCATCCCTTTGAGTCAGTATGTGTTACTCATGTTTGTATGCTTTTTTCGAAGCACTTGTTTGCTTATTTGTTTGTTATACCACTCTTCCCTTAGGATCGCTCGATTAGAGTGGCTTTCGAGCTAGACATTAGGATAGGTATCCATGCATGCTAACATAGGGTAGAGATTTCATTTTCATCCTCAATCTTAGGATTAATTGTTGTATGATAACATTAGGGATAGATTTAAGTTAGTCTCCCTTATATGTTTTTCTTTCTTTTGCATCCTTGCATTAAGACTAAAACTCTTTTTCTTGAAAAATGCATCAAACACCTAAAAACTTTCAATCCTTCTTTAAGGTAAAAAAACATCAACCAATACAAAGTCTTTTGCGCCTTCGGTCTTTTCTTTCAAACTTTTTCAAAAAAACATGTTAATTCGCTTTTGTGTTGACACGTGAGTCTCCAAAGGTCGAGCTGCGGCAAAAGGCAAAATTAATATTGTTCATTTAAAAAATACAAACCAACCAAAACATGTAAGCCGAACTACTACTACTCTGATTCCTTAAAAGGGATACGTAGGCATTGGGGTAGGGCCCGAACGAACACAACTTTATTTTCCCTACATTATTTTCTCTTTTCTTTTGCATGCATTCCCTCTTTGCATTTTCTTTTTAGATCTTAAGCATTAGATTTCAACACACTCTTTGATTAGAACAACAATAATGGATACCATAGAGTACTACGGGTGTGTGAGGTTGTTCTACCCCAAAATTTTCCCTCTCATTTATCAAATTTTTTCTCACAAAGATCTCTCTTGGCTCAAGACTGCACTAGGGTTGATCAGCTCAAGACACCTCCTTAAACACTGATGACCAAAATTAGGGTTTGAGATTGCACAAGTATAATGGACTTTCAATGCTTTATATGAATTTCATGGATCATTATGTACCCCCAAGATTACTCATGTCAAGTTTAAATCCTTGGATCACACTTTTGCTCAGTCAATTGAGCAGTTGACCTAAAAGTCAGTTGTATTGGGGGAAAAGTCAACTATGGCCAATTTACAGTCAAACTTCATAATTTTTTATCCACATCAACATTATAAACTCGTATGTATCATTTGATCAAGTTTGGACCACAATTCCTCAAGAAATTTGATCAAATCATCAAAAGGGCAAAATGGTTAAAATTAGAGTTTTGACTAAGAAAGGGCAATTTCTGATTTTTTACCTAACAAATGATCAATTGGTTTGAAGCATGATCTCAAGAGGTCAATTTCATCTTTTTTATCTAATGGCATAACCTAAAACATTGCTCAAGATCAATTGGATTGACAGTGAATTTTCAGTCAACTGATCAAAAGTCAACAGTACACTGAAAAGTCAAACTTTGACCTTTTGGTCAAAATCCAATGTCAAAGATCATAGTTCATCAAAACATGTCAAAATATGAAACTTATTCATCAAGAAATCAAAAGTCAAGATTTCATTTTGAAAATTCAAAGTTTTCTAACTTATAAAATTTTCTAAGTGTTTAAAACTTCATGTTTTTTCATAACTTTGAGCCAATTTTTCACCATGATGCAAGAGGGTTCAAAAGAAACTTTAAACATGAAAGTTGTAGATCTCCATGATATATACAAAATTGATTCACACAAATTCTTCTAAAAATTCTTGGATCTCAAGTTATTAATTCATAAAGTCATGGTCTTGAAATTGAACACTTAGTGAAATTTTGCCCTAGTTTTGGTCAGGATTTTGACCTAACTTCATGGCACTTTTTCATATAGTTCCAAGGGGAATTTTAAAAAGTGGTTCAAATAGGGGTTGTAGAGCACATTGCAAGATTTCCAAAATATCCAAGAACTCCTTGAGATCATTCTTGAGCATGGAGAATCAAAGAGAGACAGTTAGGTTTTCAAACTTGAAATACAAGTCATTTTGTGATGAACAATAATTCAATTTCAAACCTATGCTGCACAATCTTGCTTTGCATGCCTCTAAACCTCAATATATATCCATAATCAGAAGATTACACTTACGTTTGAGCTATTATCCACTCGATTCAAGCTTTATCCAAGCAAATTTTCCATTTATGGCACAAAGTAACCATTCCATTCTTGTAAAGAAGCTTTAATCACAAAGTCAATGCATAGAGCTTTACACTTGTTCCTTATGATCACAAGCAATGTCAAATGCAAAAGCAACATGTCTAGAGCCTCCCATAAACTCAGGCCATGCTTGTACTATGCCTTGAAACCATATTGTCACTTTTCTTCAAAATCAAGTAACATAGCCATAAGTTTATATCTTGTGTTTCTGACCTCCTCAAGTGCACCAACCTTTTCCATATAATTATACAAGTGTATTGCAACATAACACACGATTGAAAAAGCTCCCAAAAACTCCCTGAAAACTCAGATTGCACAAGACCTCCAACTTTGTGTCATTTCTGATTTTGAACTTCAATCTTTAAAACCACTCGTGTATTTCTTTGCCTTTTAGTTTCAAAATCTTCCTCATATCAAATACAAACCATCGCTGTCC